CCTGATTTCCGGGCCTCATCCTCCGGAAATTCTGTTTCTTTGTTACTAATGTTGTGGCCTCACCCCATCACAAAGAAACAGAATTTCCGGAGGATGAGGCCCAGACATCAGGATTTTAAAAAGATTCCCAGGTGATTCTAATGTGCAGCCATGGTTGAGAACCACTGGCTTATTAGCTTGTGGTCCTTTGAAGGCGAAGGATTGTGCATTTCTTTCTCTTTCGTGCAGGTTAACCTCCACTCCTTCCACATTATAAGTGGTGGTGTGAGAATGAAGCGGGAGGACGTGTGTAAATCGCACATAGTAGGCACCTTTAACTGGCTAGGTCCTCAGGTTGTCTTCCCTTCCGTGAGAGAGCCAGCCCTGCCCTCGGACGGTCTTATTAGCCTTTCTGAATTTCCGCATTTTATTTCTCAGAACTGAGCCGAGCAGGGAAAGGCCCTCCTTTGAATCCTGGGGTGGTTAGGTTCTTTTTTCTCAACTTGTCTCCTGAGGAAGCAGATGGAAGAGGGAGGTAGAACCAAGGAGGAGAAGGTGGTGGCCAAGTGATGGGTGCCTCTTTTCCATCCCCCGGAAGAAGTTGCCTTCTCTTTTGGGGGAAAGCCAGGGAATCGCACCCCCTCCTCAGCTCGCACATCGGGTGCTGTTCTCTGGCACCGCCTGTCACTACTCTCCCGCTCGCTCGAGGGGCCGCAATGGTCATCCTTCCTTTCCTCACTTCCATGTCCTCCATGTTTGCTTCCCTTTGCAATGTTCAGGATGCTGTAGCCCTTCGCCGTCTTAGAGTTTAGGAAGGTCTGCATTGCCCCTTTGCCTTCTTAGATCTTTCTACGAGAAGAAGGTGACGGGAGCTTCTGAAGGAACATGAGCAGTTGCTCCTTGGGTGGCTCCTGGGGACGGTTTGGGACGGCTCCTCGGACCCTGGACCCCTCGGACGGTGCTCCTGGAACGTCCTTTCCCTTGGCTCACTGTCCCAGTTTCTCGGGAGTTTTCCTGGGAGCCTGACGCAGCCCCTCCGTAGGGTCTTCCCAGTCCATTTGTTTATTTTATCTCTTCTTTGTTTTGTTAAGTTTTGCCATCTGTGAAGCACCAGGTACAACTCTATCCCTGCGTGAATGGCAGGTAATCATCATTTATTCAGGTGCTTGCTGTTCTGCCAAATGTGACGATCTGTTTGGGGGCCCGGAAACGCAGTGAGGAGCAGGGTTTCATTTACCACCTTTCAAAGTGCCGGGGCGCCGCGCAGAGAATGATGCGAATTGTAAAATCCCAGTTTCAGGCATCTTACTGACTCAGGTGCTCTTAACTTTCCGCCTCCTTTGGGATGGCACCTAAGAGCCGGGTTTTAAAATAAGATAAGCACCCAGGTAGGGGTTTTCTTGATTGTTCCCAATCTTTTTCACCCCCCCAAAAAGCTCTTCTTTTTGGGGGGCTTCTGACAGGCGTTGAAGAGCAGCCCTTGACCACTGTGGTGGCGAGCGCTGGCCTTTCCGGGGACTCAGGTTTGCTCTCCCTGCTCCTTTTCAGCGAGCTGGAACGTCTGAGCAACCTGGTGGGCAAGCCGTCGGAGAACCACCCGCTCCATAACAGCGGCCTGCTGAGCCTGGACCCCGTGCAGGACAAAACTCCCCTCTACAGCCAGCTCCTTCAAGCCTACAAGTGGTCAAACAAGGTAAGGCGGCGAATGTAGGGAGAGCCAGGTTTCTCAGTCTCATGAGTGCAGAGGTGAGGGTACGTTTTTATTTCTTTTTTGTTCTTGATTCAGCCTGGCGTTACAGAGTTGGAAGTTTTAGAGTTTCCCTGTGAGCTCATGTCCTTTGAAGTCCTTGGAGGTTTTTGAGGCTTAGTCATGATGCTCAGGTAATTAAATTAAAAAATCTAAGGTGTAATTAACCTGGAGGCTGGCTAAGGAAGCAGCTTTGTTTTGTTTTGTTTTCAATCCTCACCTGAGGATATGATTTTTATTGATTTTAGAGAGGGAAAGAGAGAAACATCTATGGGTTGCCTTCCATAGGTGCCCCGACTAGGATTTGAACCCACAACCTAGGTATGTGCCCTGACTGGGAATTGAAACCACAACCTTTTGGTGTATGGGACAATGCTCCAACCACATGAGCCACTGACCTGGGCTGTAGGAAGCAGCTTTTATGAACCTCTTGAAAAAAAAAAATATATATATATATGGCTAATATGCCAAGTGTCCGTCCCACCGGTAGATACGACGCGCACTTACCACCAGGGTGCAGACACTCAACGCAGGAGCTGCTGAGCTGCAATGACTTGGCAGCGGCGGTTCTTGGGTGACACACCCCGAAACTAGAGAGGATGGAGCCCGATTCCTCGAGGGGCCTCACGATTCCACCTTCGGCTGTGGGTCATGTTGTTGCTGGGGCACTGTCAGCCCTGAATCTGGTTTACTGGACACTTGCATTTGCGTTCCACACCCTGTATGACAGCAACTTTGCAGAGTGCCCTCTCGCACTCCGGGACCCCTGGCGGGATGTTGGAGAGCTGGTTTCAGCCTGATCCCCACAGGCCAGGCTGACGCCCTTCGAGCTGCAGCACCGCCCCAGGTGCAGCTGGCTGGGGAGGGATAACTGGAGGTTGGCTCCAGGGCGTGTCTGGACCCTCTCGCCCAGTCCTGCCCCACTGGCCACCTTCTAATTAATTTCCTTTCAGTGTGCACGAATTCGTGCACCGGGGCACTAGTGTACAAACTAATATTGTGGACCCTTTTCCTGGGGAAGATGTCCTGGCTTCGTCAGCTTCTCAGAGGACCCCTGGCCCCCGCAAGGTGAAGGCTTGGTGGTCTACACGTTCGGCCCTCAGCGTTGTCGCTCCGCTTGTACCGTCGTCCCCTGTCCTCGGTGAGGAGCATCTAGACTGCTGTTCGGTAGATTTCTCTCTACTTCTCTCTAATCACGTTAGGCTCCATTTGAGGGAGACTGTCCTGTACATGTGTCACAGAATTTGCTACTTATGGTTTCCTCAGCCGGCAGGCCGTGGCAGAGACCGCCCCCAGGGCAGCTGAGAAAGGAAAACTGAACTGTAGTCTAAAGATAACAGGTACCTGGCCGGCATGGCTCAGTGGTTGAGCATCGACCTGTGAACCAGGAGGTCACGGTTCGATTCCCTGTCAGGGCACATGCCCGGGTTGTGGGCTCGATCCCCAGTAGGAGGCAGCCAATCCATGATTCTCTCATTATTGATGTTTCTATCTCCCTCTCCTCTCCCTTCCTCTCAGAAATCAATAAAAAATATTAAGAAAAAATAAAGGTAACAGGAACAGTTAGGTTCATAGCCTGGGAGCAGTTTGTTTATCGACAAGTTCCTTTTGTTTGGGTGCTGTGTATTTTTTTTCTTCTTGCTGATAGAAAGTGAGAATATATGTTTGGAATGATTTTGGAAGCATTTCTCTTTAGTCTGCGCCACCTCCCTGGAGACAGCTGCTCTGCCCCCCCTACCCCCACCCCGTTACCCATTGTTTTTCTCCTCTTTCCTATCGGCCGGGCCCCTCAGGTCTTGGATGACAGATGAGCTTGGACAGTTTTTTCCTTGTGCAGTTTCTTCTTTGAGCTTCTCTTCTCTCTGGGGGCATTCAGTATCCTTTGGTTTTAGAAGTGATTGATCTCGGGGTGCTAAAGAAGGAGCTTGGGTCTCGGATGCGTACATTTAGCCTCTAAGGCTTGTCCCGCAAACTCTGGGCTGCCGGTGGCACACTCAGTTGGTTTTGAGGATCGCGGTGCCCAGGTGCTGTGGGGATCTGTCACTCTCTTTTTTTTTTTTTTAAATATATTTTATTGATTTTTTACAGAGAAGAAGGAAGAGGGACAGAGAGTTAGAAACATCGATGAGAGAGATTGATCAGCTGCCTCCTGCACGCCCCTACTGGGGATGTGCCCGCAACCAAGGTACATGCCCTTGACCGGAATCGAACCTGGGACCCTTGAGTCCGCAGGCCGACGCTCTATCCACTGAGCCAAACCGGTTCGGCGATCTGTCACTCTCTTGCCCGCTAGGCCCACTCTCCTGGGTTGGCCTGATCTCCACGTGGTAGAAGAGAGAGCTCTGCAGTTGTAGGTCTGCATGGTCCTTAAAGTAGGTGATCTGGTGTCCACATCAGACCCTGGCAGAGGGTCTGGCCCTGCTTGGTGAGTGGCCCCCAAGACAGTTCATTAAATCCAGGCGGTGGGATTCTCTGATGGGCCAACACAGCTCACGGATCACAGGAAGCACAGGAAGTGGGGCTCCTTGGAGTTGGAGAGAGCCAGTTCCCAAAAGGGGGTGTGCAGACTGACAAAAAAATACTCTGTGTCTGTTGCAGTTGCCAAGGCCAGGCCCGAGATTGTCCAGCCCTTCACGGCAGCACTGCCCCTCGCTGTCCCAGGGCTTCTCTGGGGCATCTCACAGGAGTTCACCTGGGGAGGTGCGGGGGGGGGCAGTCAGCATGGCGGGGCTGGCTTCTGGGCGGACTCCTCATCTGCTTCTTGGTGTTTGGACGTGGGAGCCGGGTCGAGGTATCACGTGGGTAAAGTTGTTCTTGGAACTTGCTAGAGCGATGGAGACTTGTCAGCGGTGGGAACACTTCTTAGCTGATCCTGAAACCACAAGTGACTGGGACTCTAGTGACTGGTTTTAAATGGAAATGATGATGCTTAACTTTTGAATGAAGGTAGCTTAATTGCTCAACGAATTTAATAGTTGGGGTATGAAAATAGAAGTGCCTGCCCTGCCCCCTACCCTTCCCCAAGGTGGAAAGGAGGTCGTGTTAAGGGAAAGACCTATGTGTATGGAAGCTCTTGTTCTGGTGATGCTGCAGGTTGAAATAGATGGAGACATTGATGAGATTGCCTCATAAACGAGAAGAAGAGAACAAGGGTAAGGGTTTCTTATGTGCATTTCTTTAAAAACGGGAGAAGTAACCCCAAGGAATAAGCCAGCCAGTGTTCTAATTCTCAGCTGGGGCTATGGAAGCAGCAAATGACTACATATGTTCATCATATGTGTTAATTTCGCCTCTCCTGCAAGTGAAAGGGCTTTTTAATTGCTGGGCTTTCAGCGCTCATCACTTCAGCCTCACAGAGCTTCAACCAGCAAGTGCGTTACTGTGTGAGGGGAAGTTGGGGAGAGCCTGCCGCTGTCAGCTCTCGCGCTGGCTGAGGGGGAGGAAGCGGGGAAGCGATGCCACCCATTATGTGATGAACTCTCCGTCTTAAGCGCTAGTGGCCATAGAAAAGTCTTGTTCATGCCTAATAACAAATTATTTTCTTTAGGGGATTTTGTGATTTTTGTAGAGTCAGTTGGAATATTAATTACGTGGTAGTTGGCATGATTGTTAGGATAACACATTTAAAAATTAATCTCATCTAATGAAATGATGTCAAGTTGCTGTGAGCAGCACTTTTCCATGCTGAATGGGGAGAGAACTCGCTTTTAACTCTCGGGCTCCTGTAGCTGACGGTTCTGTGGGATGACAAGCTCCGGTGGAGGACAAGAATAATTGGCGGCAGCGCTGTCGCTGCAGAGTCGTCGGCGCACTTTCTATCGCTTGTTCTGCTCAGAAATTCGAGGCTGAGACGAGCTCATCCCGAGGTCCCTCCCCGAGGGCCTCAGCGTCCTGGGAACAGGCTTCTGTTTGGGGCTGGACTTCTTTCCTTTGTTGGGGGCAGAAGGCTGCTGGTTTAAGGCCTGCCCAGCAGGTTGAGACTTCAGCCTTTCTCTGGAGCAGCCAAGACCCAGCAGCCACTCTCCCCTGTGTTGGGGGGGGCCGGGGGGAGGAGGAGGGGGGGAGAGTAGCGGGGCAGCCACTCTCCCCTGTGTTGGGGGGGGCCGGGGGGGCCGGGGGGAGGAGGAGGGGGGGGGTAGCGGGAGCCGCTGCCGCTGCCTCTTAAGTTTCTACACGCTTAATTTTACATGTTTGTTAGAGAAAAACCCCTTTTATTCCGAGAGTGTCCACTTGGAAAGTCCCACACTTGTTAGAGAAAAACCCCTTTTATTCCGAGAGTGTCCACTTGGAAAGTCCCACACATTGGCTTTACGTGACCGGGACGCTCATCTCTTTCTGATCTGTCATGCTTCGATCTGCCATGCTTCGATCTGCCATGCTTCGATCTGCCATGCTTCGGCACCGTGGAGCGAACAGGGTGGCATTGTCTAAGTTGCGACACAGCCTTTCCTTTAGGGACCTGTCCTTTAAGCCCCCGGAGAGGTGCTTTGTCTGCGGGATCCTGCGGGAGTTGCTGCACCTACCCCGGTGCCTGGTGTACAGTAAGCATTCAGCTGAAATGCCTTGAATGAATGAGAGGATGAATAAGCGCTCCTACTGTTGCATTTTTAATTTACAACCCCTTCTGTGGTCTGCTTGCTGGCATTTTTGATGAGGTGGATAGGGGCATTTTTATTTCCGGCCAGTCCTGAGAACCTGGCCGTGTCACTTGTGGAGAAAGGCCTGAGGCCCGCGCGCCAGGCGTGGCTGGGTTCCAGAGGGGAATTGGGAAGGACGGGATGAGGTCAGTCGATGAGCCGGGGATAAGCTCCGAGGGCTGAGGTTAGCAGTTTTATCTGTGTCTTTGCCACCCGGTGTGCCCTTTCTGAGAGCCGGTTGGCAGCCAGTGCTTTGGAGGGGGTGGGACTTGGTGGAATCCTGGAGTTGACTGAGTCAGGCTTGTGAGC